GGCAAGTGGAATTCATTGAGGGATTTGACAGTGTGATTCATAGATTAAGTATTTCAAATATAGGCTATTATATATGCTACACGCACGCACAGAGGTTTTTTTTTCTTACCATCTTTTGGGAGTTTCTTGCTTTTAGACTAGTCGACTAGTCGGATACAAAACTTTAGTTTAAACGTCAGTCAAATTAGTCGTCTCGCACATCCCTAGTTTTAACGAGACTCACCGGTGCATGCGCAACGCTGAACTCATACGTCATGCGCCCGGAGCTGCTTCCGTTTACAACAGCGAGCGCAAGCTAGATTAAAGTGATTATTATGTTTTGAATATGGATATTTTTCTTACAAAAACGCATCGATTCGCTACAGGAGGCCCTTGTTCACCCCCCGGAGCCGTGTGAGATGCTTTTTTTTAATGGATGGGCGCTTTTTATTTCACTTATTTTGGACTGATGCATGCAACACCCGCTGAGTGGCATTAAACAGCTTGAAAGATCAAAGACAATTTTTAATATAACTCCGACTGGATTAGTCTGAAAGAAGAAAGTCATATACACCTAGGATGGCTCTGGGGTGAGTAAAACACAGCCTAATTTTCATTTTTGGGTAAACTAACCCTTTAAGCTTCTATCAAAACTATACCACTCTTAGCTCTAAAAAAAAAAAAGTCAGTAGTACACTCAAATCAAAATGCGATATAGACTAGAGTCTGTGAATATTAAGACACAAAAATACAATTTAAATATGAATCCTGCATGTTTTGCGTGTCTCTGTGCAAATGAATGGCGCAGACACGCAATATGTGAGTACATACACAATCTCTAGAACTGCTCTGAGTCACTTCATGAGCATTTTACCATTTCTTATACAAACAGAAACCTAAAGGTCTTCACAGCAACCTGTCAAAATAAAAGTTTGGTTTAACTTGCAGAAACTGTGACAGAAATATTACTTAATGTAATGATAGCACAACTACTACTAATAAAATTATTATTAACACATTATTTTAATATTTCAATAATATTTACCAGAAAAATCATTTACCAGAATTTATTTAGCAGAAAAATATAAATACAAAACATTTTTTTCTGGAAATAAATAAATAAAATAATTATTTTAAAAATAATATCAATTACTTAAAGATGCTTCTGATTATTCATATTTAATGAAACTATTAAAATGGAATACAGAAAATTAATGTAAAAAAAAAAAAAAACTGAATTTGAGAAGAAGAAAAAAATGTCACAGGGCCTAAAAAATTTAATTTTTGTTAAAAGTTTAGTAAATTGCCGTTTAATATTGTACATTTCATGGTTTAAATTTATTAGACATTTTTTAGATGAATAGAATTTAATTTAACCATTAAAACAGAGTCTAGAAAAATGGAAAAATATAAAAAAAACGGAAATAAAATGGAAAAGACTAAATTTGGGAAAAAATAAACTGGAATTTTGGAAAAAATTAAATGGATTTCATAGGGCCCTATATTAGGAAAAATAGTAAATAAATAAATAAAAAATCTTCAAGTAAATGCAAATGTCATGAACAGATGAACAGAAAAGCACAAAATATTTCTAACCACTACTTTTACCCTTATTCCTCAACAATCTATTTTTCTCTAAACTTCAAATGTCAACCACGCAAGGCCTTCAGGGGCTGCGTCACGTAGCGCCGGATACAAAAGACAGAGCCAGATTGGGTCTGCCGAATGTCTGAACACTGCCGGTTCAGTGAGCACAGACAAAAAACATTTAGTTCAGACAGCCGAGCATCGATTTTCAAAGTCACTGGTTACTGTAGTGAAAATCAGAAGCACTCTGGGAAATGACAGATGTTTACTTATACATGAGAGCTAAAGTTCTGTCTAGTCTCTTTCAATTGAGAGTAGGGGTGTGCGATATATATCGTCTGCGATAATATCGTAATTGTTGTTTTAACGATGTGCGATTTGACATTATCGAGTATTTTGCAAAAACCATTCAAAACATCCCTACAGAGCACACGCATACATTACGTGAAGTCTAGACTAGTGCGTGTGCGCATTTGAGGACTAATAATACAGCAGAGCTGACCTGATTCAGATCAGACCATGACTTGGGAGAGAAAGTGTGTATACTGCTCAAAAAAGCAAGGACATTTGGAGAAATGTGTGTTCAACAGCATATTAATGTTTGTTTTGGCATCAAAAACTGTCAAATTTCACTTGTATTCACCAATGAAACCTTGGTATGTAACCAATCGTGAATGCTGTACACAGCCCCACTGCCCAAAGGCAGTCTTGTGTCTTCAGGTCAGAGGGAGGGTCTGGTGGTGAGCAGCATCACACGGCTCCTCATTACGAGTGTAAGAGGGTCTGGAGAGGAGGTAGTCTGCTACATTAAGCTGATTGGATCAGTTTTCTCTGATCATGACCCATCACAAGCTCCACTCATGTGAAGGAGAGACTGGGGTCTTATAATGCTCCAGTTAACCCAGCTTCTACTGTTTGTCGGCGAGACAGAAATTCTTCTACTGTCTGTCGCCACATATATAGAGAGAAAGGCAAAAAGAAATCCTCTGCTACAGGCTTATCATGACACTCCCAGGAATCTTACTCGGCCAGACAGACATTTTTCAACAATTAAATAAAAAATTCATAAAGCTGAGCTTTTACTGACTTTGTTATGGCACCTCAAATGCTTCGCACAGATTGCAATGTTATAGACAGAAAGCTTTAAAGAATAATCAAAAAGAAGAAAGTTTTAAACCGTACTTTTGACAAATATGTTGACATGCACTAAAAGTTTAATTTTTAAGTTTTTTTTTTTAAAGAAATTAATATATTTAGTCAGCAAGGATGCAATATATTGATCAGAAATTACAGTTATAATGCTACAAAAGGCTTCTACTTCAAATAAATGCCATTCTATTCATCAAAGGATCATAAAATAATTAACAAAAATATTAAGCAGCACAACTGTTTTCAACATTGTTAATAATAAGAAATGCTTCTAAATCAGCATATTAGAATGACTGAAGGATCAGGTCACACTGGAGACTGGAGTAATAGCTGCTCAAAATTCAGGAATAAATTACATGTAATAAGTTTCTAATAAATTACAAAATATATTACAATAGAAAACATATATTTTAAATTGTAATAATTGTAATACATTTATTTTTGATGTGTACAAAGGAAAAACAAAGATGTCAATATCAAGACTGCTACTGTATAACAAATTTCTATATAAAAAAAATAAAATAAATATAGAACAAAGTCCTAACTTTAAAAATATATATAAAACCTAATTTCAAAAATCATAACTAACTAAATAAATAATGTCTAATTTAATAAGAGTAAAGATGACTATTCAAACAGAGAGGGATTCCTCTGCTGATGGCAGTCATGCTGTTCAAGGGCAATCAAGAAATAGATGGAGACTGGAATGAAACTGGCAGATGAACGCCAAATATATGCCACAAAACTTCATTTGGAAGTTTACATGATTGATTAAGTCATTTAAGAGACGAAGGGGACAGTGTTTGGCAGGAGGGACATAAACGGTTGACATTCCAGTTGTGTAATAGAATCAGCATAATTGAATTTGCTGGATTTGGCTTGCACCATCTGCTCCAAAGGATACCCACCCCCCCTTCAAGAGACAGCTGTTAAAGTCTATACCCCAGGGTGGGACATCCCATCAATCCTGTACACTAAACTGTACAGCCAGGGTCATGGAAGCCACTCCCATGATCCAATTCCTATTCTCTACAGGTCCACCTCACTCCAGCTGCCCTGCCCAGGGCCAAGAGAAGGGGGATAGAAGGGCATAAGGTTGATTTGGTGATATTAATTAGCATTATGAGACATCCATCAGTTCAAAGAGCAAACACACTAAAACTAGCAACTCTGGCTGTGGATTCACATTATTTTTGGGGCAGAAAAGTGGTAATTTCAGAGAAATGATTTGAATATATTACCTGTATGTCCTCCAGCAGCTCCTGTTTTCGTCTCCTAATGTTCTCCAGTTCCTGCTTCTCCTCTGGCGTCAGGTCGTCCGGTACTTTGTTTGGAAACAAACAAAAGCAAACAATGAGCGTTCAGATGTACAAACACAAAAATGCAGACGGTCAAGCTGCGGTCTCTTGACCCAAACATTTTTGTCCATTTCTAAGAGGTTGCATGGACAATGAAAATATTTTCAGAGGAAACAGAACTGATGTCAAATGAAGGGATGTGCAACAGAACGAAGGGAGATTGTGAAAAGGAGAAACTGCCTGAGGCAAAGCACTGCCTTTGAGACACAAACCAACTCAGCAATCAATAGCTTGAAAAACACAGCAGTGTTGTTTATATGGGCCTCTGGTCCAGAACATCAGGAAGTCCTCAGAGCAAAGCAGATAGTTGTTCTTTTCATTAAATGCTTTTCCTTTAAGCTAAAAGCCATTTCGAAGAATTTTTAGTGTCCAGTCAGGACAACATCACGCAAACTAGCTTAAACCTTTTCACTTGTTATTTGCCAAATGGGTTAGGAGAAAAACAAAACAGTTATCTGAAAATATTATCTCACAACAAGCGATACTATCAAACCAAGAATTAATATTTTATTTACATTAATATATTATATCATGCATCATATATAATATAATATATACACTACAGCCTCTACAGGTCAAAAGTTTGGAATAATTCATATTTTTTCATGTTTTTGCTCTCAAAGGTTGTATTTATTATTGCAAATGTAATTTATTCCTGTGAATAAAGATTAGAATGATTTGAAGGATCATGTGACACTGAAGACAGAAATGATGCTGAAAATTCAACTTTACTATCACAGGCATATATTACATTTTAAAATATATTCAAATAGAAAACAGTTCTTTTAAATTGTAATAATTTTACAATATTACTGTATTTTTAATCAAGTAAATAGAGCCTGCTTTTAAAAACTAAATCTAATGAACAGAACATAATCTATCTAATGATCATAACACCTAGTCCTATCATGCAAAAAAAATAAAAATAAAATAAATTCATATATACTGTATATTACAAGGTCCCTGCTGATCCACAACCTTGGCAAACGAGCCAGAGTCTATCAGAGAAAAGCATTCCACTCAGCAGTTCTGATGTGCTCTGGAGAGCCCTGATGTTGGAATTTGCAGAACACAAATTATTTATATGAACCTTGCATCCATAAACCCAAAGATTTCTCTGAAGTAATTCAGTTTAAGTGCTTTGTTCAAGAGCACTAAAGTCAGTTCAATACCGGGCTGAGGGCCAACATCCCCACCATTCTGCTTGGTCTGGCTGATGCCAGTCAGAGAAAGACCCTGCTTTTCAATCTTTGTGTTACATTGAGAATTTAATACAGCATGTATGAACTTAGAGTGTTTAAATGGAGTATTTCTCAAAAGTGAAGACTTGCTTTGATACTTGCGAATAAAAACATCTGAAGAAAATTCTGTATTTAAAAAAAAAAAAGAAAACAAGAAATGCTTGTAACTTTACTGAGAAAAAAAAGGATGTAAAAAATACTATAGTGACTATAGTTAACTATGCTACCATAAAATATATGGTGAAAAATTTAATTAGAAATGTAGATTACATGTTCAATTTAACATAGTTATTAATTTTGTTGTATAAAACATTTATAATAAGTATCCAAATAATTATTAATTAAATTATTTTTCATTATTATTTATTACAGAAGATTATGTTAAATCATTATTATTACTACTACTGTCACAACATGACAGATTTCTGTTATCAGTTATGTTTGGAAAATGATTGGCAGTGGAGATTAATGGCTTTATGTCATTTGTCTTGATTCAGCCGTCTCTTTAATGGATTAGGGGTCTAAAAACAACACAGGGCATTTGAGGACATCAGAAAGCAGGGCACATTCCTTTGGTACTGAAAAACTTGTAAAAAGTATGACAAGATAAAGTCATTTAAACTCAACCCTGACCTAACCTAGCCACATGATTAGCTGACCTCATAATAAAAACAAAGACACTTGGTCATAGGATATGACGACCCTCACCTTTCATGTGACCTCATTAAATCCCTTCCTGGTGGCCCGTATGACAGCCTGACCCTGCAGGGGACCTACAGAGACCCTACTAGAGGCCTGTAGACTAATTGATTCCTTGTTCCATTTACACCTTCACAAACGGATCACAAACCATCAGGCTCCGACATTAGATGATGACAACATCACCATCGTGATAAAGACAAAACCTACAGCCTGCCCACATGATCGTCCTCACCAATCACATGGATACCCATGTTTCTGAGCGACTGCTTGTCGCTGTGGCAACGCACCGCATGCGTTTTCCTGCTGAACTCCAGCTGGGATTTTTGACAGGCAGTCTGTGAGCAGAAATCCCGTCCAAAAAGCAGCCCATTCCCCCCTCATTTTGCAGAAATTGGTATCGCAACCTCCAGCGGAAATCCATTAGTCTCGCCTCAGGTGA